TAATGGTGTTCCAAAAATTATGAGTTAATATGCTATATTTGAATTGAAATGATTTTATCCTTGAATTTGAGACAGTATTTTTGAATTAGTGATATGTGAGTTTTGAAGCCTAAAGATAAATTAATGTTGCATAAAAATTGTTAAAGATACTTTAACTAAGAAAATAGGGTTTTTGGTAAGTTCTAGGGTGCTTTTAGGTTGCTCTATAATGTCTTTTCTAATATATTTTCATTAGAGCTATTTTTTTTTTGCATAGGATAGAGACACAGGTTATTTCTTCTAATGTGCTTTTTCTCAGGTTAAAATATCCAACAACAAAAAATGTATTCTCTTTTAATGTTTCTAAAATTTTGTTAAAATGAGATTGTGTTGCAGAAACAAAATTTATACGATAAAATTGACATACTTTTAAGTTCATAAATGTTTTTTTTTTCTGATAGTTTGTGATAGATGTTATATGATATATATGGTGTTGTATATACAAAAAACTTAATTGTACCATAGGGTCGAATGACCTAAAAAAATGTGAGGCATATCACTCGAGGTGGACGGTTTTGGAACAATCAAGACAACAACACATTACTCAGATGCAAAAATTAAAAGCCGAACAACATCTTTGACGTTGGACAGTGTTGTTCGACACACAAGTTTTCTTTATGAGAATTAAAATTTCATTAATCTCAAGTTCAAGTGAAAAACTATAAATATGTGTTAAAGATAAAAAGTAGATGATTGTATTTATTGTGTATTTAATACAATTACTCTGAATTTCCCGTGGACCATTTATTAACTTAAACATTGAAGAACCCTTGACAGGTATCACTCTGGATGGTGAAGTGAAGACAAAGATGGGAAGAAGCAACTATCCGAAACATTAATGATATTAATATGTGATTTTAATATATATATATATATATATATATATATATATCCTCAATTCTGGATATATTATGAGGAAACAATACTGACAATATATCCAGAATTAAAATAAAGCAGGGAATCTTTGAGAGCTTAAATTGAAACTCTAGAAATAATATCGTTTTATCAATTCAAAGCACATTCCCACACAGATCAACTTTCTCTCTCGTGCACGGAGAAAAGGCAAGGAGGGAGAAATCCACGCCGCAGTCGGCAATGGCCCCGGTGGCGATTGGTGTTGCCGGCGACGCCTTGGATTGAGCGGAAGGTCCGACGAGGCGGCTGGTCCGATGGAGGCTAGGGTGCGTGCATGTAAGGGGAGGCAAACCCCTCTCTAGGGCTCCCTTGTTTGAAGAAGGGGCTCCGTTGTTTGGATTCTTTGTAGGTGAAGAATGGAGATGCTTGCTTGATCTACCAGAGAAGATGAACGAAGCGAAACTATGGATGCTCTGCCGGAAAAGATGAACGAAGTTCTCAAGCACAAGCAACGTGGCAGAGAGTGAAGAGGCAAGCTGGCATAAGACGTGACCTCGCCGTTTGCCACATCAAATAAAAGTTAATGCCGTTTAATTTTAAGGACTAATAGGAATAGTTTCAAAACTACGAGGACTAAAAGCAATCAACGTTTCGAGTAGGGACTAAACCCAAAATTGTGTGATACTTAAGAGACGAAAAACATATTTAACCCTATATATATATATATATATATATATATATATATATATGTGTGTGTTTGTTGCAAATAAGATATATCTAGTGTGGTAATGTGATTCTTTTATGGGTGATGTATTGCACTGTAACAGGAAAAAAATGATGTTTTGGAAGATACTCGTTTGAATGAGTTAGCATGAGAATCGGTTCATAATAAATTTACAAGATATCATAACATATTTTTATATTCATTTGATATAGGTTACAAGAGTAAAATAATAAAAAAAAGTGTAAAGTTTTAAAAAAAATAAAAAATAAATAAAAGTAGTATCAATTAAATAAATGTAAAATATTTAGGCATGAATCTTCACTCTAAATTTATTAAAATAGTAGTTGTTGCTAAACATTGACTTTCATGGCCATTATTAGTTACTTTCCGAAGACCTTTTTGTTAGGATTAATGTACTTCTCCTCGTTCAGATTAAACTGAAAAAAGTAGGCGGACACAAATTATTATCCTTTTTTTATATTATCTAATAATATTATTTCAAAATACTTTTCCTTTTTTAAATAGAATTATCGCTTTCGTCTTCTTATCTTTTCTTAAGGGCAAACAAATTTTAAAATGGACTAATTCATTTTCAATTATACAGTATAAATATTTTAATCAGTCCTTTAGTAATTAACCAATTAATAAATTGGTAGTAATCACAATTATTCAAAATCACGACGTAATGACTGACAATTGTAACACTTATTTTTATATATTTTGAGAAAATAATAATTAAATAAAGAGTGAATATGTCTAAATTGTTTAATAAAAAATCTTAATTCAAAAGTAAGTTTATTTTTGTTTCTATAATGCAAACCTTCTCTTTTTATTAATTTGTTCATATGTGTAACTTTGATATTTCACCGATCAAGTTGATGAATAATAGAAAATTTATCTTAGTATAATTTGGTTATGATATGATGATTTACAAGTTTGCATCAATAAAATGATATGAAGTTTTTTGTATATTTTTTGAGTATAAACTTTGAAGCTATTCTTTCTTGTTAGAAGGTTTCTTTCTGGTAAAAAATGTTAAAATTAAAATCTTGGTGTTGAATAATTTGTGTGTTTGTGTGTGTATATATATTGTTGAATTGTAAAATTGAATGTATTGGTTTGGTATTGAAATACATAATTGAGAAAATTAGGTGAAATGGAGATAATAAATGTCACAATAGTGTGTGTAATCAGATGTTGGACATTGTTTGAAACAAGTTAGAGTGAATCAGATTGATGGGACCTTGCCCCCAGATTTTTAATATATATATATATATATATATATATATATATATATATAAATATAATTTATTTATTTTAAATTTTAATATATTTTATATATATTTAATACTCACAAACCTTTTATACATTTATATAAAAATTTTATCATCTCAAAGTATTTGTTGACTCCACATATATATCATTTGAGTCTCAAGTGATAAAACTCATCATTCAAATTATAACCTGTACTTTAAACAAAATCTATAAATGTCTATAGTGACAATTTATTTCTTAAGGCATGAGTTTATAACTTGGATAAAATATATTTTTTTTATCTTTTATTACGAGAGATACTTGAGATTGAATATTGATATCCTTTTAAGATTTAAACATAAATTGTAAATTCAACTAAATCTGAAAAAGTAAATTATAGTTTTATTTATAGGAAAACATAGACTAAAATGATAATGATTAAAACTTATTAAAGTTTTTTGAGAACACTATACTGAATACTGAATTACAGTACTAGATTGTTATTCATCAGTAACAGATTCAAAGGTTATTTTTGAGAATGCGTTTAATTTGTTCTTTGGGTAAATAATGGCCTTGTGACAAACATAGAAAATAATTATATTTTATGTTTTGGGATAACTATTACTATATATTAGTATTATATTTAAAAAATCTGGGTAGTAGTATAAAAGAAATTTACTTAATTACAGTTACGTAATGATGTATATTATGCAGAATAAGTTGATTAAATTAATTTTTGGAAACGAGTATATAAGGAGGAGATAGGGAAGGTAGCATGTGGCATAGGCTTTATTAATTTTTGTTTTGTTTGGTTGAGCGCTGCGGTGTGGAGAAAGCGCGAAAGGGTGGTGGAGATGGACATAGACCAGTTGCCTAAGAACGCTGCTAACTACACTGCCTTAACGCCGTTGTGGTTTCTGGAAAGAGCAGCTACGGTGCATCCTACCAGAAACTCCCTCATCCATGGATCTCGTCGCTACACGTGGCAACAGACCTACCACCGTTGCCGTCGATTCGCCTCTGCTCTTTCCAACTACTCCATCGGACCAGGAAACACTGTACTCTCTCTCTCTTTCTCTTTCTCCTCTCCATCTTGGGTCTCAGATTTCTTTTCTCTCTCTCTCAAACATCTTTTGTCTGATTTCCTCTGTTGAATATGGAAATTCTAATAGTTAGTGTTCACGTGTGGACAACTTTTATTTTATTTCTGTTTAATTATGTCCTGTCCGGAATATAACTAAAAAAACATTTTTTTAAAATATCACTTTAATATGTTAAATTTTGTTATTAAGAAAAAACAGTAATTTTTTGTAAAATATATATATATTTGGAGACCAAAATAGAGTTCATCTTGTGAAAGAGTTTATCTTTGTTGAAACAATATATGTTAATATGATAATACCGGAAAAGAGGAGAATGCGAGAGTTAATATTGTAATATGTTGATTTATGATAATTATTTTGAAAGCTATATATTTCATATTTTTAATTAATTGAACGATACGAACACTAGACTGGAGAGAAAAGTCGTACTGTAACCTGACAATTGTAATTTTTTTAATTCTAACGTGCACTTTGCGATGGTTATTAAATTCCAATTTCTTTTAGGAACTAATCGTGCCTTCTGACTAAATTAATTGATAATTGTCAAAGTGAAAGACCAACTTCATTTATGTTTTTATAATATGGTGAATTACGTAAATTGTTGACCGGTGATGTCTATTTTAATATCATTCTTAGATTGTTTTTTCTAACAGAGGAGAAGTTTCAATACACCGATGGATGAATATTTTACTATGTACTAGCTAATTTTGATTTTTTATATAAATTCTTTGTTATCTGCTCGACAAATGTTTAAGAAGTTGAACAAAATACTTTTAAATTTCTCTACGGAAACATAACACAATTTGGTCAGCAAGTTAAAACTTCGAATATCTGTATTTATTACAGTTTGGATTTAGCTCGTGAAGTTAATTATAACAAGTAAAAACACGAACTACTCAATCATGATGATGTCGATGTAATTGTGTTGTTGTATGGTGTGTTCATGCTATTTTGGCCCTGTGCTATGTTCTGGTAATGTAATGTTGATGTTAATGGATTACATAATTTTCTGATACTGCTTTCAACAGGTAGCTGTTATTGCACCCAATATTCCAGCTCTTTATGAAGCTCATTTTGGGATTCCAATGGCAGGGGCTGTCTTGAATCCTGTTAATATTAGACTAAACGCATCGACAGTAGCCTTTCTTCTTGGTCATTGCTCAGCTGCAGCTGTAATAGTTGATCAAGAGTCCTTTTCTTTGGCAGAAGAAGCTTTGAAGATATGGTCTGAGAAAGCCAAAACCTTCAAGCCTCCACTTCTAGTAGTCATTGGTGATGAAAATTGCGACCCTAAGTCACTTAACTATGCTGTGGGCAAAGGAGCCATTGAATATGAGGATTTTCTTCAGGGTGGTGATCCTGAATATGCATGGAAACCCCCTGAGGATGAGTGGCAGAGTATTTCTTTGGGATACACATCTGGTACCACTGCTAGTCCGAAGGGTGTGGTATTACATCACCGTGGAGCCTATCTCATGTCTCTGAGTGGAGCTCTTATTTGGGGAATGACTGAAGGTGCTGTGTATCTTTGGACACTCCCCATGTTTCATTGCAATGGTTGGTGTTACACTTGGACACTTGCAGCTCTGTTTGGTACTAACATATGCCTTCGCCAGGTACACCTTTGGCAAAGTTCTGCATTTGTCTGAGTGATTGAAAGTTAAAACAAGTTGGTGTTAACTTCTTTTGTCTACTGAATTGAGTGATGTTCTGTACGTGCCTTGTTGATATCTTGTAACTCTAGCTTCAAGTTTGATGCAATTGTTAATTTTTATTCAAGTTAAGCACATCATTGATGATAGAGCTAAACTATAGTGGCATGGTTCAAATATAAAGTTCATGTACTTTGACTAAGATTTCAAAATCATACTTCTAGACTTCTTCATTTCGCAGTATTAGTCTTTTCACAGTTTCTTGGTTTGGTAACTGTTAGAAGTTGGAAGTTAGAAAAAAGGGGGGTAATTGATGTGAATATGTCGACTTTATAAAGAAAAAGATTTCTTGATTGGTTGAGAATTGCCGTGGATATAGAATATAGATCAGGTTAGTAAGCGGCTTTTAGAATAAAAGTGGGTTGCTTTAAGCAAATGCTTTGGAGAAAGGTGATGCTTGATTGATTTCTTACTTGCTTACACTTGAAATGACAATGCCTGTTTGTATATTGTCATCCACATCCTATGTATAATTCTTGTTACTTAAAATAGTATTTAGAAAATTCTATTACATACTGGAATTTTGCAGCAGGTTTTAATCCTTCTACTTGATACAAAATTCAACAATTCAAAGCATAATTTGTAGTTGTTTGAATTTGAGTTTTGATAGTGTCTTCGTAAATATGTTTTCAAATTGAATTTTTGTTGTCTAGTAATTAAGTGAATTTGTTTACTTGCCCCATCTATGATGAAATGATATTTAGTAGTTATATGCTTGGTTTGTGATGATGCATTGGATATTTTTGTCATTGCAATAGTTTATTTGTTGTGATAAGAGTAGGTTCATCTCTTCTTTTAAGTTATATTGCTTGACATCTGGTTTCTGTAGCAGCTGTCATTACTTTATTTCCGGTGTTAATTGTACTATTGTTGCTTGCTTTTAGATACTCTAAAGAAAAATCCTTATTAAAGCAAGAAGGTATAACCTGATGTAATCTTCAGATTGTACCTTTCTTGGTTCTGCCATGGTAGTGCTTTTCTTTTGCCTTTTGACTCCGCTAAGGTGCCATTTCACAATCACTTTGCATCCAAGTACTAACTTTCACTTGATTTATTAATGGAATTTGGAGTAATATAAGAAAGATGTTATTCATAGTTATTTTCATCTACGAAATTTGCTTGATGTTTATTTTTTGCTGGTAGTTTTTCTTTTTTATGTATCATTTACATTCTAGTAACATGGTATCTTCTTCTCCTACAGAGTAGATAGTTCTAGTTGCTTCAAATATTATTTAGAAAATCCCATTACTTTAATCCTACAGAGTAGATAGTTCTAGTAGTAACTAGTGATTACATGCTAATTTGAAGTTAGTATACATTAATAAAACCAACACAAATAGCAAAGAGCTTGGTTAAAGCAAGAGCTCGGTTTTTAGTTTTATGAGAGAAATAATAAGCAGCAAGTAGTTTTGCCCACTGAAGTGAGTGTGGCTTTTGGACAATTTGACCAGAATATGTGCAGATACTCTACTGTCACGTTAACAAGTACTATTGCATACTTTGTTGAATATTTGTTTACGAGATAGTTGATTGTTATAGACTAAGTCTTACAGATATCCATCCTGAATTCATTTTTTGTCATATGTTTACTCAGGTAACAGCGAAGGCAGTCTACGAAGCCATTGCCAAGTATAAAGTGACTCATTTTTGTGCAGCACCAGTGGTTCTTAACACAATAATCAATGCCCCACCTGAGGAAACCATACTTCCTCTCCCGCATGTTGTGCATGTGAATACAGCTGGGGCTGCTCCTCCTCCTTCTGTTCTTTTTGGAATGTCTGAACGAGGATTTCGTGTCACACACACTTATGGTCTCTCTGAAACCTATGGCCCCTCCGTCTATTGTGCCTGGAAACCAGAATGGCATTCACTTCCTCCTGAACGCCAAGCCCAGCTCAATGCAAGACAAGGGGTTAGGTACATTGGCTTGGAAAACTTGGAAGTGGTGAACACAAAAACCATGCAACCTGTTCCTGCTGATGGCA